TATACAACAAGTTCAAAACTCTTTTTATTTTTCTTCTTAAATTTCATGCGTAGTCAAATATATTCACATAAATTGAGATAGAGAGAGTATAAAAAAGGTAGGATAAAGGATAAAATTAGATAATTTTAGTAATAAGAAAGGGCAAAATGCGAGAAGAAAAAGCGGGGTAAGAATGTGATCACACCAAATCAATGTTACATAAATGATACTGATTTAACGATACAATAAAAATAAAATTTAAGTAACAATCAAAGTAAATAATAATATATTTAAAGTAATAAAATGCAATATAATAGGTAATAAGGATTTTTTCTCAATTACGAATAGAAGTGAAAAAATAAAATAAAAATTATCGAGAGGTAATTAAACAGTGAGGATCCCCACCGAAAGTAAAAGAAGTGCCCTCACAACGGAAGATTGAACACAACCAGAGAAAGCCTAACTCCATTTAATAAAGTAAGATTAAATTAAATGTGTGATTCTGCACATCGTTTTTTCTTTTGTTTTTCTTAAATCATTTCATTTCTCTTTGTAATTGCAATTGGTGTTCTATAATTTTGTTGAAATTCACTTAATTAATTATGAATATTACATAAATTTTTATGTTTCCGTTGTGTTTATAAATTGCCAATCATGCTTAGGGTTATCCAAAGTGTGGGAATAAAGCTGCTAAGCTTTTTTTAGGCTATACAAATTTTAGTACTCAAATTGCTTGGGTATTTTTCCATTCCCGTTGTGTTTATAATTAAAGTTAGGGTTATGCATTTTGTGGGAATAAAGCTGCTAAGCTTATTTGGGCGATGCCAAATATGTGAAATAACTAAGCTAGCGTTTGGGCATAGATTTGATTGAAACTTGAAAATGGAGTTTTTGAATAATTTTTGAAAGTTTAAGTTGTATTTGGACATGCATTTTATTTGAAGAAAATCAGTTTTTGGAAACTTTTTTTTCCCAAAACATGATCATATTTCATAAACAAACAATGTTTTCAATTTCTTTTTGAAAAAATGAAGCCAAGATCTATGGCCAAACGGGAGCTAAGTTTCCCGAGTTATAAAGAATACTAGGTGATTTCTTCTCATCTATTGGTGGATAGAGTTACTTGGTACATGTTGCTGGTGGGAGGTAGTAGGTGTTCCGTGCAATTAGTCTAGGTGCGTGTAAGCTAGCCCGGACACCACGGTTATAAAAAACATTATTGGAACTTTCTCTCTCCCTTTGTTGTGTAGCTATAGATGTCTTTAAGCTTAATAGAAGCAAAAGGTAATTTAGTTCTATTCTTTCTTTCTTTTTTCTTTAGAATAATCACATATTTTATAGTCGTATGTTTTAATAAAGTTTTTGCCGATGGCATCCTTACGGTAAAGAATGTAGTTCTTTGATATTAAGAGGAGATTTACGAATGATTTCAATTAGAGCACGACCTTTCTGTTCTTCTTACAGTTATAGCATGTCAATTTCAAAACATCATGTGCAGTTGTGTCAAGATAGTTTGGAGATTTTCCTCATCTTTGTATTCTTGCTCTTTTTCTACAGGTTCTTATTGGCAAATATTGTTATGTGATGTCTCCTGAGGACAAAAAGCATTGTTGTCTAACTTTACCTCCCGATGCACTTAACAACCTTCCAGAGAATGTAATTGATTCCATTTTGATGTGTTTGCCTTTTAAAGATGCTGTGAGGACTAGTGTTTTATCAAACAATTGGAGATATAAATGGTGCGGACTTCCAGAGTTGACGCTTGATGAAGCTGTTTGGACAACTAAAAAGAATTTATTTTTTCATACAACTGAAATTACCAAGATTATTTCCCACATTCTGATATTTCATGCAGGACCGATTACAAAGTTTATCCTCTGTGTTCCTAAGTCGAGAAGCTGTCATATGATTGATGACTTGATATATTTTCTCTCTAAAAATGGCATTCAACATCTTGTTCTTGAACTTCCATTCAGGGATAGCCCACACAAATTGCCTTCTTCATTTTTCAAATGTTTGCAGTTGAGGCATTTGACTCTCCAGAATTGTTTAATAATTCCTCCACCTGCCTTCAAAGGATTTGATAGGTTAATTAGGCTGGAGCTATGTGAAGTTACAATATCTTCCAAGTTGCTTGGAAGTTTAATCTCTCATTGCTTGTTACTCGAGCATTTGGTGCTGCATATCGCATATTCTTATAGCAATGTCGTTGAAATTAATGCTCCCAGGCTGAGATCATTTTACTTCGCAGGCAGTATAAGATCTATCTTTCTAAAGAATGCCCCTCTTCTGGAAAAACTTTTACTTACGGATAATGAAACAGGTTATTTGGGGGCAGAAAAATGGGATATTGTGAAGTTTTTCGAGTCTTTTTCTGCTCTTGAGCATCTCTGCGTGAATATGGTAAATGTTGCTTCCTGACTTCAGTATAACGCATTTTCAATTTTAGGCTTTGTTTCACTCTAAATTTTTAATATTTTCTTCCTAGTTATTTGCTGCAGAAGCAGGTGAAATACCAACAAGGCTTCCCTTTGATCTTAACTGTGTCAAACAGCTTTACATAACTGTTGATCTGTATGACTCGGCTGAGGTTTCATGTGCTTGTTGCTTGATAAGTAGCTTTCCATATTTACAATATATGGAGATTCAGGTACTCTTCTCTATGTTTCTTATGTTGTGGCCTTTTATTTTCAGAGAATTGAATTTGGTTAATTTTTCTTAGGAGGCTTGTTGTAACGATGGTGTAGCAGATCATCGAGTGGAACTTCCCTCAGACGTGACATTTAATCACCTCAAGGATGTTAAGCTAATATTCACTAGTGGCTCAATCATTGAGATGCAGCTTGCCAAGCTTCTGTTAGCCAAGTCTCCCGTGCTGGTGAGAATGCTAATCGAGTCATGTCGAGCTAAAGGAACTGCAACAGTAAAAAAACTCGTTGATGAGTTAACAACATTTCAGCGTGCATCACCTGAAGCAGAAGTTGTCTTCACCAAACGCTAGTACAAGATCAAGATTACGATCCTGTTTATTGATCTTCAGCAGTCTTTAATCAATCTATGATCTTTGGCTCAGTTATTTTGGAAGTTAAAGTGAGTACTTTTTTGGTTGAAAATGAATTTTTTTTAATCAACCAAGTATAAACTATATACAACTGCTAGCTCCTTTTGACTCTTTTGGGCTTTGAGTCATTCAGTATTTTCTTCCTGGTTCTTGGCTGCAGGAGAAGGTGAATTATCAACAAAGATTCCCTTTGATCTTAAAGGTGTCAAATGTCTTTGCCTAGTTGATGAAATAAGAATGGTAGATACTTATCGCACCCGGTGTATATATTTGGATTTGCTATAAAATTCAAATATAGTTATGAATGGTAATTTTCTAAAAGTATAGCTACAAATTGTAAGTACAGTGTATAAGTTAGCTACATCATATAATTTTTCCAGAAAAAAAAAAATAATGTGATGCAAGCACTTAAAACTCCCTCTATCTCATTCATTGATATTGGATATCTCAATGGTCATTCTCTTTTAGTTAAGTCAAAAAATCTTTTTCCTATTGGATGCATTTTAATCTATGAATAGGCTTTATCTTCTTTTTAATACTCCTCTTCTGTGTTTTTTTTTCTTGTGTGTGTATATGTTTTCTAGATTTGTTTGAATGCCTGATTTTGTTGGCCCTAGAGATGGCAGCAGTTTATAAAGCTTATTATCTGAATGAAAATGTGTTTCTTGTTTAATCTTTGTGTTTAATTATTAAAGTCTGGTTAAACTTAAAAGATTATATGAATTAATGATCATTATTAGATTACAAAATAATTATCATGTGTTACCGAAAAAAAATTCCCATAAAAAATATTTTAATATGTTCGCCATTTTGTATAATTCTTACTAAACGTATATTGACCTATTAAAATTTTATTCTTAACTTAAATAAAGTGAGATTGAATTTATTTTTATATTTCTATGCCAATTTTTTTTCTTTTCAAACTATCGAGAAAACTAGAGGCGGATTCGGGTAATTCATATTGGATATGAAAATTTCGGATTGAATCTTCGGTTTCAGGTTGAAGAAATTATAACCCAATTCAAATAAGTTCGGATTGGATATGATTTATTAAGTTCAGTTTCAAATTAGTCGGATTGGATATTTTGAAATTTTCGATTTTGAACTGATAAGTTGAGATTTTTCTTACAAGATATGAATATTCTCGTAAAATATTTATGTCATATTGTCTTAATAGTTCCTCTTTCTCACCATAATTATTCAAATAAAATATTCATGAAGCGATGAAATCATGTTAAGAAAATGCAACAAAAACATTAATAATGTCCTAAGAATTAACAAGTTCGGCTTAGTAAGACCATGATAAGTAGATAGTATTTTAACATTAAAAGTAGAAATACAACTTCAGCCTTCTATGTTCGAAACCCATAAAACGCCAGCTAGCGTGGGCGAGAAAGAAGAAAATTCTATATTCGATTTAATAGGGTATCCGATATTGAACTTAGCCATAATATTGATTATATGAGGTAATATTATGCATATGAAAAATGGGTGTGTGATTGACTAATTTCGTAAAATTTAAGAACAAATGAGATTGATACGCAACTAGCAGATTCACTGTTTACTCTTTCTAGTCGGTATACATAAAGTATGCATAGTTATATATATATATTATACATAAATTATATGTCTATTACACATCCGTCGGCTATTTTTAGTTTAAGGGATTAAAACAACAACAATAACGACCTAGTAAAAACTCACTAGTGGGGCCTGAGGAAATTAGTGTGTACGCAAACCTTACCCCTATACTGAGAGAGTAGAGAGATTATTTCTGAAAGACAAAAACGAGAAGAGATAATATATCAGTACTATCAACAGAAACCAAAGTAATAATAACAATAACAGAAAAATCAAAAAATAGATGAAAACAATAGCAATAACCACATAAAAGCCAGAAAATAAACGAAAACAATAGCAATAACGGTTAAGTAAACAGACCGGCACTATAACACAACATTAATTTGGGTTAATTAAAATTTGGCATTTTCCCCCAAAGGGACAGCCCTATGAGTAATCACTCCATAATTCTAGGGTTTCTCTTTCCCCTTCGTTTGAAAAAACCTCTTTCCGATGAACCCAAAAGAGTAGAGAAAGCACTCAAAGTACGCATAAGGCTATTTGATACTCCTTTTTGGATCTTCCAAATTCATAATCTCAAGTCTTGGTAAGCTGAAAATCTGCTACCTCGTCTTTTGTTTTCTAAAAATCGTTTCTTTCCATTTTGGATGATGTTGGTATTGTTGGTTTTCTTGGGGTATGAGCATCATTTCAGTAAGTCAAGAAAAGTAGCTGTATTTTGGCATATTGTCTTAAGTTTGAGAAGCAATTGAGGTTTCTGTACAATGAGGGGATTGGAAAAAAAAAGAATCTTTATTATTTAGAAGAAGAAGAAGAAATGACAGCATAGAAAGTTGATTTTTCTCTTAATTTGGTTGAAATAAATATTTTGGATTGGCTTGAAAGTTGAATTTGGTCCTTGATGTAAATTATTTGAAATGTTTCCTATGTATAAGTGGAACCAAATAACTCAGTTTGTGATCATTTTTCAGTCCCGTATTACTTGTGCTGAACATGTAAACTAAATCAAAGTATTTGCTACTTAGTATAATTTTCATTAGTCGCCATCATACCACTTCTAGACTAGGTTAATGTATATTCTTATTATGAGAAGGGTTCAATCGTCAACTTACATCCTATAAAAGATGGAACTTGTTAGGTTCATCCCTTAAAGTTCTTAGCATTGAACTTAACTTATCATACTTTTGAAATTATGGATTTAGAATATACTATTTTAGTGTCATGTTCCATGTAAAAATTACCGGATCCGGTTGAACTTGTAGCTAATAAGCTACATCTGCTACTGGTGGTGTCGAATGACCATATGAAAAAAAAACGATTTTGCTATGTAATAAAGGACTCTTTGGTCAGAGGAAGCTAGATCTACAATTGGGGTTTTGCCATCAGTTACTAAAAAGGGCAGCCTGGTGTACTAAGCTTCCGCTATGCGCGAGGTCCAGGGAAGAGCCGAACCACAAGGGTCTATTATACGCAGCCTTACCCTGCATTTCTGCAAGAGGTTGTTTCCACGGCTCGAACCCGTGACCGCTTGGTCACATGGCAACAACTTTACCAGTTACGCTAAGCGTCTCAACCAGCTTCATATAAGCGATCCCGGAGGCTCGTGCGTAGTGCCCCTTGTTCGGGTGCCACAAAATGGAATGCATCTGTCCGCGATGCAGCTTGTGAAAGGTTTCAAGAAAGGGGAACCTACATTTCTTGCAACCTTGACGGGAATCGTTGAGAGCTCCCTTGAGGCAGTAGCATTCTCCCCTTCCAAAATACTTGATCAAGTGTCAACTTTTGAAGTCTGCACCAGGTATACCTCCATTTCTTCGATAAGATGCTTGTTCTCACAGCATCTCGTAAAGGCAAATGTATTACAATAATATCCCCTACTATTAGATTTACAGACATCATGTACCACCTTTTGACCCTCCATGTAGGACCACTTACTAAGTTTACCCTCTCCATTGCTGATCTGGGAAAATGTCTTAAATTGATAACTTGATATGTTTTCTCTCTAGGAATGTCGTTCAGCATCTTGTTCTTCAATTTCCGAAGGATAACCTATACAAATTGCCTTCTTCATTTTTCACATGTTTTCAGATAAGACATCTAAGTCTCCATAAATGTTTAATAAATCCTCCACCAGCTTTCAAAGGATTTGATAAGTTAGTTGCCCTCGAACTTTGTGAAGTCACAATTTCTTCCAAATTTCTTGGAAGTTTAATCTCTTACAGCCTGTTGCTCGAGCAGCTGGTGCTGCAATCAAGTATCTCCGATCACATTCAAATTAAAGCTCCCAAGTTGAGATCCTTTGACTTCACAGGCAGTTTAAAATTAATTCCTTAATGGATATCCCTCTTCTTGCAAAACTTTCACTTGTAGATATAGATGAGGGAGGAAGCTATGATACTGCCAAGTTTTTGAGTCTTTTCCTGCTCTCGAGCATCTCCACTTGAATTGTTATAGTGTCCAGGTAATTCTTGCGTCATGACTCATTGTAGTTTATTTTCATGGCGCTATTTTTTGGGCTTTGAGACATTCTGATTTTTGGCATTGTGTTTTTAGTTCTTAGCAGGCAAAGTACCAAAACAGCTCTTCTCTCCTCTTAACTGTCTTAAACGTCTTTACCTATCTGACATATGTCTAGATGGTGTAGACGAGGCTTCATGTGTTCTTTGCTTGATAAGAAGCTCCCCATATTTACAGGACATTGAAATTCAGGTTTTTCTTTCTCTTCTCTATGCTCTTTCTGCATGTAATTGCTAGAGTGTCTTATACACTTATTTCATTAGCATTAATCCTCAATTTTAGCTCAAAGGGACAAACGTTTGTTATTTTATAGTTGTATGATTCAGCTTCTGGGTATGATTATGTTATGGAGGAGATTGCTGGTCTAGAATCTCGTGAAGTTGAAAGCTTCTCAGATGTGACATTGAATCACCTGAGATCTGTTAAGCTTACAGGTATAATAGGCTTAACTCCTGAAATGGAACTTATCCAGCTTCTCTTAGCCAAGTCTCCAATGCTCATCAGAATGCTAATCGAGCCCGGGGTAGGAGATAATTCTCCTGAAACAAGACTCAAGGTACTCGCAGAGATAACAAAGTTTCGGCGGGCATCATCTAAAGCAGAAGTTGTTTATAAAGTTGCATAGATTTCTATCCAGATTACGATCCTGTTTATCTCCACTTGTCTTTTGGCAAGACCATGGTCTTTGACTAAAGAATTTTGGAAGATTAAGGTGGACAGACAGAATTGAATGCAGTTATACGGCTGTGTTGTGGCTGTGTTTCTATCAAACCAAAAGAAAAAGCTGTGTTTTGCCTTGTCTTACAACTTGTTTGGATGATTGTTAAGTATTGTTTCATAATGCATGTATCGTATCATATTGTATTGTATTGTACTGTATCGTTTTGACGTATACAATGTTTGGATAGATTGTATTTTTTGCGATCGTTTTATGATGTCATGCAACAACAATACGAAGTATAAACGTGCAATATTATAAAGAAAGTAACGTATGAGGTAGAATTATTATATAAAACGGCAAGGTAAAGGATAGAATAAGATTATTTAATAATAAGTAAGGGCAAGATGAGAGAAGAAAATAAGGTAACGATGCAACCAAACCAAAACGGTCGTTCCATAAAGTGGAACTTTTCTTAGTTACGTAACAACGGATTTAACAATACAGTACAATAATTGTTGGATTTCAGTTTGGGAGCACAAGTGCCTCTGAATAGATGTTTTTACTAGTCTGCTCATTATGACAATGCTTAAGGGTTCTATATTTCATGCATGTTAATGATCTACTAAATGAAACATGAAATTGTACTACAACAACAACAAAAAAACTAGTGTAATCCAGCAAATGGGGTTTGGAGAAGGTAGTGTATACGCAAACTTTACCCCTATTTTGTGCGGATAGAGAAACCGTTTTCGTCCTTGCAAAAGTTAAAGCTTGGAGACTAGTACAACAACAACAACAACATACCCAGTATTATCCCACAACGTGGGGTCTATGGAGGGTAGTGTGTACGCAGACTTTACTCTTACCTCGTGAAAGCTTGGAGACTAGTATCAAATATTAATTTTCTAATTGCAAGCACTGTTGTACAACTTCTTATTTTGTTATTGTTTTATTTAATATATGTGCTAATAATTTAATCTCTCCTATGGTGTTAATCCTTTTTCTCATGCTACGTTAACATATTGATCCTATTAGCTAGATTTTTAGTAAGGAAGGAGATTGATTATTGCAATATAGAAAAACAGAAGGAATTGCTTTTTCTAAACTAACAACTAAATGCCTTTGATTTTTTTTTTTAAAAATATAATATTCTTATGATTACAAACGTGAGTGTTGAAGTCCATTCCAACTTAAGTACAATATACAACTAGGTATGAGACACAATTGTTTTTAATCATTTCGTATTCGAAAATTCACTAATCCGACTAATCCAGTACATACCCAATGATCCATCAAGGAGACAACGATTTCTATCAGGATTTTTTCATTAGCAGAGTTATTTCAAGCTACAAAATTTGAGTGAAAGAGGAATTTAAGAGTTGAAAATGAAGCTGATTTTTTTTTGTTGAAGAATTTGGATATTCCAGGTCATCCCCTTCCTCTCTAAAAAAGAAAACAAAAATGATGCTGATTTTTAAATAGGGGAATTTTTGAACTCTTTTGCTAACGGCATAGGCTCATTTGAAACTATCTGAGTGGTTTGGTTGGGAAACAAGTTATCTCATATTAATTATTTCGGAATTAGTTATTCTGGGATTAGTTATCCTCCCATAGTGATAAAAGATACTATAATCCTAGGATAACTTAGTTATACCACTATTTTATCCTATCAGACATGAGATAAAATCATCTCAAATATAATCCCTGGATTAATTATTCCTTATTCCTCGTACCAAACGAGCCATTAAGGAATGACAATTTTTTACTCTTTTGCATAGTCCAAGGAAAATCTAAACGTTTTGTCAAAGTTTTATCATTTTACATGGCTCCCGTTTGGCCATAGATTTTGGTTTCATTTTCTCAAAAAAAAATTTGAAAACATTGTTTGTTTATGAGATATGATCATGTTTTGGGATAAAAAATTTCAAAAATTTCCAAATTTCCAACAACTGGTTTAGGGCAGTTTTTGGATAAAATATTTTACTCCATTCACAAAACTTTAACTTTTTTTCAAATAAAATGCATGTCCAAATATAATTTCAAAAACTCTTTTTTAAATTTTCAATCAAATCTATGTCCAAACACTCGCATAGTCGAGTGACAAATTTAAACCTTTTTAATTGAAAAGCTACTAAAGCCACCATTAGAGGCATAGGCAAATTAGAACGCAAATTAAAGGCGAGGGATTTTTACTAAGGCAATAGATTAACATAGGGTATTTTTAAGACAAATTGAACACAATAAAAAGGGTATTATTGCAATTTAGCCATTTTCAGTATGGTGTCGCCTTTTGGATTTCACCATTTAAGTGTGAACTATATATTTCTCTTTTCAGGTTCTTCCAATTTGAGAAGTGAGTAGTTCACAATTCATCTTCATCAGGTTCATATCTTCCTCTCTTTATTTCTCCTCTTTTAACTTATTACTGTTTTCTTCATTCTTAACACATAACTCATGTGCTTTTTTATATGGTTCTGGGGTTCTATAGAATTTTGAAATCAAGATTGTATTTTTATTTTCTGGGTATAGTTAAATCTGCTGAAATTGAATTGGGTTTTGCTTAAAACTTGATGGGGTTAACGTTATCATGGATGTAGCATATTCGTCGGTGTGTACTTTGCATAGTTTTCTTAGCAGTGTACTGTTGGCTTACTCTATATATACATATACACATTCTTTTATAGAAAAATATTATACATATGTTTAGTAAAATAATTCTGACAAAGTAGTGTTAGATGACACCCCTTCTAGGCCGTGGCAAAGGACTAAGTAGTGTCATATGAAACAACCTCTTGCATGAATGCAGGGTAAGGCTGCTTAAACTAGACTCTTGTGGTCGGGCCCTTCCCCGGATCCCGCGCCTAGCGGAAGCTTAATGCAACGGGCTGTCCTTTTTTTTAAAGCATTTTTGTTAAAAATAATATGTATACATACATTAAGTTGACACCGTTTAATAAATAATGCAGAGTAAACATCAATTTGGAATAAGAACACACAGCCCCAGACCCAAAGTCATTTATATAAGCTGAATTGTTACAATAGGTTGACACCGGTTAAAGAAATCCAATGTACGCCACTGTTTGGGTAACTATTTTGTATGTTTTGATAACTGAAATAACATTTAGGTGTTGAAGTATCCAGTGTACCTAGTAATATATAATGTTTATAGAAAATTATTTCTCTGTATATGGAAAAGAAATTTGTTCAGCAAAGAACTAAATTTACGATCGGAGTTCTGCCATTTGTTAGGGTGATTAGTAATTCCAATCAAGCTTGCGAGTACGGGATCATATAAGTCGATCGCCGCTTTAACTTAAGTTGTTCCGCTGTTGATGTATGACAGGATTGTTCAGCTTTTGTTGTGTTTAGAGTCTTTACACATACCGAGTCACCTCAAGATTATGTACATTGTGGTGATAAACTACTAAGACTAATTAGACTATATAAATTAGTAGCAAAGCTATTAGTACAACAACAACAACAACAACCCAGTATAATCCCACAAGTGAGGTATGGGGAGGGTAGTGTGTACGCATACCTTACCTCTACCCTGTGGGATAGAGAGGCTGTTTTCGGTAAAGCTATTAGTACAAAAATTTTAAAAATAAAACAGAAAGGTAATAAAGTTACAATAGTTTGATGTCAAATCTAGCCGAATTGAACAACATTTCCTCTCCTTGTCTTATAACTTAATAGCGGCAAAAGATAATGTGTGATCCTTGTTTATTGTTTGTTTGGTTTTCCCTTTTGAATAATGATCTTAATAATATTCTGGATGCATGAAGTATTAATAGGATTTTTGCTATAAATAATGCAATTCATGGATTTAAGAGGAAATTGATGAGTTATTTAAATGTAATGCACCTTTTTCTTTTATCTTACAGTTGTAGATTGTTGATTTAACAATGTCAATAGCAGTTGTGTGCTGTCTTTTAGTATGTACTCTATCCTGATAGTTTTTTAGATTCCTTACCTATTGTATACTCGTTTATTTTCTGCAGATTCTTGTTGGCAATCATTTAATATGATGCCTCCCCCGGATGTACTTAGCAATCTTCCCAAGATTGTAATAGATGAAATTTTAATGAGGTTGTCTTTACGAGATGCTGTGAGGACAAGCATCTTATCGAAGAAATGGAGATATAACTGGTGCACACTTCCACAGTTAAAACTTGATCAAACTCTTTGGAAAACTACAAAGGATTTAACATGCTTTACAAGTAACTTTACAAAGATTATCTACCACATTTTGACCCTTCATGAAGGACCAATTACCCAGTTTACCCTCTCAATTCCTTATTTGGAAGGTTGTCCTAATTTTGACAACTTAATATATTTCCTCTCTAGGAATGGCATTCAACATCTTGTTCTTGAACATCAAAGTGGTAATCTATACAAATTGCCTTCTTCATTTTTCACATGTTCCCAGTTGAGGCATTTGTCTCTCGAAAATTGTATAATACGTCCTCCACATGTCTTTAAGGGATTTGAAAGGTTAATTAGCTTAAAACTAAGCGGAGTCACAATTTCTTCTGAATTGCTTGGGAGTTTAATCTCCCATAGCCTGTTTCTTGAGAACTTGGTGCTGGAAAACTCAGATATATCAAACCCCGTGGAAATTAGTGCTCCCAAGCTGAGATCTTTTGTCTTCATTGGTGATATACATTTTATACGTCTAAAATATGTCCCTCTTCTTTCCAAAGTTTCATATGAGCCTAGAGCATTTTCTGTAGAGGCAGAACATGATCTCGCCAAGATTTTTGAGTCTATTCCTGCTCTCGAGCATCTCTGCTGGAATCTCCACGATGTCAAGGTAAATGTTGCTTCATGACTTGAATATAATGCATTTTTATAGATGTACCATCTTTTGGGCTTAGAGTCATCCTGATTTTTGACAATTTCTTCCTAGGCCGTGGATGCTGGACCCGTTGAGTTTATACCAACAAGGCTTCCCTCTTCTTTTAACTGTCTTAAACGCCTTTACGTATCTTGGGTTTGTCTGGGAGAATTCTTTGATCTTTCATTTGCTCTTTGCTTGATAAGAAGCTCCCCATATTTAGAAGAGATTGAAATTGAGGTTATTAACGATGTTTCTTTTTCTCTTTTATATGTGCTTTTCGTATGTAATGGTTTTCTTATTTTGCATGCTCATTAGATCTTCAATATTAAGTTCGGGCTGATGGATTTTTCTCGATCTTTCTTAGGCATGTGATACTGTGGGGGGCGAGTATTACGAACCTGTGCCATGTGGTGGTGTTGATGAGATTCCTGCAAGCTTCTCAGATATGACATTTAATCTCCTGAGGACAGTTAAGCTTAAAGGTGTAACAGGAAAAGGGTCTGAAATGCAGCTTATCAAGGTTTTATTGGCCAAGTCTCCGGCGCTGCTGAGAATGGTAATCGACCCCAGTGTAGAAGAAGATAAAAAATCTCTCAAAGTGCTGGCGGAGATAACAAAATTTCAGCGGGCATCATCTAAAGCAGAAGTTGTGTATAATGTAGATTAGTATCCATATCACATCCCTACTTGACCTTCACTAGTCAGTTAATCAGATCATGATGTTTGGCTAAAATGTTTGGAAGTTTAATGTGTAAAATGAATGTTGATACATAGTGAGGCTGTGTTTTGCCTTTGCCTTACAACTTGCTTGGATGGTTGTGACATGTTGTATTGTATCGGTTGGATGGTTGTGACATTGTGTTATTGTATTGTATCGTATTATTACTTTAAATATAATGTTTGTTTTGATTGTTACTTAAATTTATTGGATCGTATCATTAAATCCGTCGTTACATAACGATGATAAGTTTCACTTTATGGAACGACTGATTTGGTGTGGACGCATCGTTATCTTATTTTTTTCTCTCATCTTACCCTTCCTTATTATTAAATAATCTTATTTTATTATTTACCTTACCTTTTCATATAATAATTAATTCTACCTTTTGCGTTACTTTTTTTATTTTATAATATGGCAAGTTTATACTTCATATTGTTGGTGTATTTTCTACACAATTTTAGTAGTTGTCCACTGGCTACCACTGCTATATATGCAACTTTTCTTTATTATTCAAATATGCTATAAAATCAAGTGAGTCATTGTATTTATTTTTTAGTTGTGTATTTTGTTGAACATCTTAGACACATAATCTTAACCGTCCATCTATTTTTTTCTCAATCATTTAAAAGCTAATTGCTCATCTAGATTGTGATTTCTTACTTTCAAATTCAAATAGGTTAAATTTTAATTAGTTTTACTACTTGTATATTACTTTCATTGTTTCATTTTATATGACACTATTTTGTTTTTCTTCTCTTTAAGAAACAAGAGTAAATTCCTCTTAAACCCCTTAAACTTTAATGTTGGAAAAGAATACTCCCTTGGCCTTTTATGGGAAAGATAATCCATTTGAGCAACAATTTTCGATGAGAACTATGGTGCAATATTTACAAGCTGAAATTGAATTTGGACAATATTATTCTTACACGTTTTAGTGTTACAGTTCCACATCTCAGAAAAATTCTCACTCAAAACACTAAGAGAGAAAAAAAGGTTAAAAAAAAGAAAAAAAAGAAAAGAAACTCAGCCTAAAGATCAGTTGCTCTTAAATCTATACCTGTATAGTCAGAACATAACCCATTTCTTTTTGCAGCTCTCATATGATCCTATACACAAGCTCAATCAAACTCTACCGCATATAAAAGCGTGGTAATTACGTAGGGAAGAGTAGAGGGTCAGCCTATTATCGACTGAGTTTTGAACTGTGAGCCACTGGCCCTTTAGTTTAGTATGGTATTTTATTTAATGTCACATGTTTTGGAGTTTTTTCTGTTTTTCATGCCAAAGTGAATTGTTCTAGGACACTCACTGCAAAATATCTATTATGCTACGGTCTTTTATACTTTTCATTTATCAAGTAAGGAGTCACTAAATATCTAAAAGTTGTTGTGCCATTCGACCTATTATCTACTTTATTTATCACTAGTTAATTGAAGTGTGGTTGTAGAAGTAGGGGCGGAGCTAGCCTTGCAGTTGTGGGTTCGGCCGAACTCTAACTTTGATTCGAATTTTATATTTGTCATCAAAAATCCATTGAAATCACGAAAATTGCACTTTTTTTGGAAGTGTTAACTAAAGTCATTTTAGCTTCTGCCTCTCATTTGTTGATATTGAAAATCTCAATGGTCATTCTTTTCCAGTAAACTCAAAAGTTTTTGCCTTTTCGTACTTGGCGAAACTCGAGATGATATTTAGAGTGATGAATCCAAAGAGTTAAAACTTAAAAGGCCAAACTACTTTGTGTGGGTATTATAACTTTTAATCCGTGCCAGAAACTATTTACATATGGTAGTCGAAAAAGTGTATAAAATATGTATAATTTTTTTTATATAAAATACAGAATGTATATATATATAAAAAAAATATACAAATTTTATATATTTTTTCGACTATAATTTTTACAGCGGCTATACAGTGTCATTTTTCCAACTTTTTTTTGAAAGTTACAAAATAGTGCCCAAATGCAGAATTAAGCATTAAGCTGATTAAAATTGCCAAATATTGAAAGGAAAAAAAAGAGTAGCAGCAAAATATAATGTGATTCTTGTTTCTATTCTTTTTATTTTCCTTTTCGAATCACAAATATGTGAAACAGCAATTATGGCATGTTGATTTAACAATGTGAATAGTTTGGAGATTCACATTGTACTTAGCAATGTATATTGATGCCATTCTGGTATGTTTGCCTTTGCGAGATGCTGTGAGGACAAGCGTATTATCAAAGAAGTGGAGATATAACTAGTGCATACTTTCAGTGTTGACGCTTGATCAAACATTTTGGAAAGCTGCAGATATCTTAATATTCTCTTCTCATAAATTTACAAACATTATGTACGCCCTGAGATTGGTCTAACATTTTGTTATGAGCTGGCTGGATTGAAGGTCAGATAGATTTGAGTTCAAGTGGGACAGCACCTTCGATCGACCATAGGGCCTATTCTACCCTTACCGAATTCATTCTATTGAAGCGTAACGTAAAAAGCTCCTTCTCATCTTGCTTTTCTTTGGTTTGGAAGTTCCAGAATGTTGTCTGTGGATTTCTATAACAAAGGAAAGCCTCCTACCCTAATACTATGCCTACTTGTTGAAAGAGTGGGTTGCTTTACCGGTAAGCACCCTTTACTTTTAATCAAGAGGTTGTGAGTTCGAGTCACCCCAAAAGTAAAGTGGGGAGTCTCAGAGGGAGGGAACCGAGGTCTATCGGAAACAACCTCTCTACCCCAGGGTAAGGGTAAAATCTGCGTCCCCTGACCCTACTAGTGAGATGGAGGGAGGGAACCGAAGGTCTATCGGAAACAGCCTCTCTACTCCAGGATAGGAGTAAAGGTCTGCGTCCACACTACTCTTCCAAGACCCCACTAGTGAGATTATAGTAAGTTGTTGTTGATGTTTATCTACCACTTGTTGACCCTACGTGAAGGAGTTGTTTCTAAGTTTACTCTCTTCATTCCTAATATGCGAACATGTCCTAAGATTGGCAACCTGATACATTTCCTCTCTAGGAAAGGCATTAAACATCTTGCTCTTCAATTTTCAAAGTCGAACCAATATGAATTACCTTCTTCCCTTTTCACATGTTGTCAGTTGAGGCATTTGAGTCTAGAAAATTGTATAATACATCCTCCAATGGCTTTTAAAGGATTTCAAGTGTTAATAAGCCTGGAACTGTGTCAAGTCAAAATTTCTTCCGAATCTCTTGGACGTTTGATCTCTCATAGCCCGTTGCTTGAGCAGCTGGTGCTGCACATCTCAAATATTTCAAATCATATTCAAATTAAAGCTCCCAAGTTAAGATCATTTGACTTCGTTGGCGCTATAAAATTTCTTTCTTTAAGAAATGTCCCTCTTCTTGCAAAACTTTCACTAGTGGACATAGGATTTTATAAAAAGTGTGATCTTAACAAGTTTTTCCAGTTTTTTCCTGCTCTCGAACATCTCTACTTGGATTACAGTAGTATCGACATAAATGTTGTATTATGCTGCATTTTCATTTTTTCATAGATGTACCATGTTTTGGTTTTCGAACCATTCTGACTTTTTGCATTTTCTTTCTAGTTCTTGTTTTCAGACGCAGGAGAAGTATTGTTTAACTTCAAAATCGGATAATAATTGAATTTGTTAGTGGCTTAAAAGATATGCGGATTAATTTGATACTAAACGATAAATTTGATAGCAATTAAAATAAATAACGATAAATTAACTGCAAACCACACGAATTGAATAATTTCGGCCTAGGAAAGCTGGGCTACCCTCGAGCTGGATGTACTTTGATTGACACCAAGATATCAAAGAATAAGAACTTAAAGAATAACGGTAATGTATTGCTTATGAGAGTATGTTACAATGTCTTTTATGAAATGCTAGGCCCCCTATATAAATTAGAGGAGTCATACTTTTAGGGGTATTATTCTATTGTTCCATGAAAGGTAAAAAGTCATTGATTTGTTGACTGCTGGTCTCCCTTTTTTGGTATGTTCCGTGATTTCCGCCGTAATGTACGGTTAGTTGCGGGAATTTCGGACCCTTGTCGGGTAAGCTGGCAATATTTTCCTTGAGACCGTTATAACCGAGACCGGTTATGACCTCGGTAAACTCGAAGGCAAGTCCGGTGGTTCCGGTGGCTGATTTGGCTAGGCAGGAACCAATCTCTAGGGTTTTATCACCATCTCTCGATCTCAAACTGTCGTGTTAGATCCTTGGTCAAATCCCGAGTTCGATTTTACCCTTATACAGATAGTCCCCTCGTTTTTCGAAGAGTAATTGGCGAGAAACGATATGAGCTCCCGATTCTTACTTCGATAAATCATGATGTAAGCGACAAAACTTATGACGTAAAGTCCCCTCGCTTTTTGGAGAGCAAATGATGAGAAACGATATGAGCTCTCGATTCTTACTTCGATAAACAATGACGTAAGTGACAAAAATCATGACATAAGCGATAAAAATAGTTGAAATGTCCCGTCGGTCCAGTTTTCAAGGTATTAAATGCTTGTCAGTTGCTGGTCGGCCACTCCCAGATGTGAACCGTCGGTTGGAAAACTATAAATGCCTTCTCCTTCGTTCATTCAAACTTTACATTCAAACCTTCTGCTCTCGTGCTTAAGAGATTTCAACACTTCCAAGTTCTTTTATTCTGATTTTCTGAGATCTTTCATAAGAGTTCTTCATCCGCTAATCATCCATTATTTCTTATCCAAACCTTCTTTTATTTATATCTCTTCCATTTAAAAAAATGGTAAAGATTTCAAAATCCGTTCCTAAAAAAGAAACTCCCTCTGCCTCGAGGCCGGCTATTGAGGAAATCATTTCTTATACGGCTGCTGTTGAGGAACCGACACCGGAGCCTCCTCTGAAATTATTCATCCCCGCGGGGTGCCCGACCAATGCTGATTTCAAGAACGAGAAACCCTCTTCGGTACCGGGTTTGTGTGAACCGGTCTCGAGATATATCTGCTCGATCACCGAGGACGTCCTCTCCGAAGTCAAGAAAGATTGCAACTGGGCTAATAAGCACGTAGTGTTCCCCAAGCCTGAGGGAGCTATTACTACCTACGTGGAGGGTTTTCTAAGTGCTTACACTTATCCCTTCACGCTGGCCCCCTAGGACCCAGTCATTATTGCCTTCTGTAAGAGGTACGAAGTGACCCTCAGCCAAATTCACCCTTCCTTTTGGAGGATAGTAATTCTCCTCAGT